ATACGACTACCACTAAATTCCCAATGTTCCAACACTCCACGAATTGGCAGAAAAAATCAAGTCAGAGTCCTTTCTGAAAAGATCAGGTTTAAAAACACAAATATGTAACTTTTCGACCCCGCAGGTCACATATAACAAAATTGTCCTAAGAAAGCCGAAAAATCGACACCTTAGTGCCTGATAGTTGACAACATTTTTATAATGTATAAAACTTCAAAAATAAAGTTAAGGGATCACCATATTTACAATGTGATACAGTGTCGCACCCAGACTTACAAAAAGCAAAGGTCGCACTTATCGAAACTATCTAAGCGCTCATCAAACGGGTAGTTTATGGGAAACATTTGTAAAAGTTGTAAATCTCACTTCAAAAAAGTGAGTGAAAATCACAAATCTCACTCTCGCAAGATCCCTCTTCAAGGTTTCAAAGGAGCACCCATTCTGGCCATATCTGAGCCAGGCGTGGAGTCGCTAACCGTAATAAACCGATGGTAAAGAAATTTTCAACAAACAATACAGATAATAAAATTATAAAAGAAACAACCGCAATACAATAAGTATGAAAAGCACATACAACCTCAAAACCCGCAAAATTAAGTTACATATCTTTTGCACGCACAGCAAAATGCATACCGAATATGCGTTCTGCCCATACACGTAAATATAGATATAACTATATCACCATGTATGCCGCGCCATCGGCTACTCAACCAGCAGTACGCCGAAATACATGCAATATAAGCATATACGTGTAATACTAGGCAAAATATTCGCCTAGGGGGCCCAGGATGTTTAAATGAGTTTTAACTCCCTCCTCCAAGTGCACCGCTCTACTCGGGAAAAACTGACACACCTTAATGAAACTCACCACACCTGTGAACACTCAAGGAATTTCACCCCACACCAGATGACACCCCACAGGACAACACAACATACCATTCTCATTCGCTATATATCATTCGTTTCGTCCACAGGCCTGAGCGCCAAGTCAACATTTTTGATACGAAAGCCTGTGTGCAACCTGCGAAGTGAACATCGTTTTTTTCGACTTTTTCTCTGCGGAATATTTAATTTAATTTGTTAAACTTCAAGTTACTTGTATTAAAAGATTTTAATAAATTTTAAATTTGTAAACCTTTTTCATCACATTTTCCTTGCTTTATTCGGAAATAAGTGTTAAAGGCTTTGTGCAAATTAGTATCAATTTATTCACAAATATAATAATACAACCCTTCGTATTTTGGTGTACTTTTTCCTTCTTTTTTGAAACCTGGATCATCGCTACCGTTTTTAATACTGTTGTTTACATTAAAAGTTTTCGACGCGAAGCCAAGCAACAGTCGCCATTTTTATTACAGAAAAAAACTGAAAGCAAAGCGTTCATTGAAGCATACTCTTTGCTTTCTGCGCTTCGTTGTTTCAGTATAAACTGTCACTTAAAACGAGGAAAGTTGTATTCTCGTCTCTTGTCCCTCGTTGGCAACGCTTCGGTTTAGCGTGCAATTCCTCAATTTAAATTTTTTATTTTTTCATCTTAACTTTTTTTTACTGAATTTTTTATATTTTAATTAGCTTATGGGTTGTATAAAGTTTATACATTTTTATTTTAGATTACTTGTAAGCTACGATTTTTTATCAAATTTGGACTTTGGTTTCTTGTTATCATTTGCAATTATTTCACAAGAAAATTCAAATATTTCTACTAAATCAAAAACTAGTTTTAGAATAAAATAATTTATAAATATTACTAATACCTTATAATTATTACTGCGGTTCCTGCTGTTTATTTAATTGTTTTTATTTCTATTTTTTGTACACGTTTATGTGTTGCCGATTTTTAGCTTTACTTTTCTCCTCTCGTAAGGATTCTTGATTGCTAAAGAAATTTTATTCGAGACGCCACTGTCGATAATTTCATGGCTAGGGATACTTAGTAGTTTTCTCCTTTTGTCCTGCTGAGGATATTACTTGTGCTCAAATTTTTGGAATCAGGATCGATTATTCCCTTTTTAACGAGGGTACTTTGAAAAATAATTCTCTCTTTTTTTTAACTTACTTTTATTTATACATTTTGTTCTTATTTACTTAAAGCTACTTCACAAAAATTATTAAATCCAGTACAAAAAAAGTGTCAATTAAAATTTAAGCTTTTCAGCATATTTTAGTTGAACGTTTTGATAATAATCGATTATTCCACTCAGAATGGAAAAAGCATATCGATTTAATAAAAATTTTATTTATGCGACTGCATAATTAATCCCCCTCGGATACAATACACTTGTGCCAACGCTTTTTCCAATCCTCGAAGCACTTCTGAAATGCGCTTTTCGGTATGGCCATCAGCTCTTTCTTCGATTCTGACTTGATCTCATCAATTGTGCCAAAACACTTTCCTTTCATTGATTTCTTCTGTTTTGGGAATAGAAAAAAGTCGCAGGGAGATTAGGCATGGTTACGCTTTTGGTTTTGGTTTTGGGACTGCTAAGCCATACTAATACGACATTGATTTTATTCAAAATTTAGACATTTCAGAACATACATCGCTGCTACACGTTTCATGCCCAAAACATTAGAGAAAATTTAATGGCAGGGCTAGATTGATATGCCAACACTCTCTGAAACTTCCCTAATAGTGACTTGATGATTTTCAAGAACCATTTTTTTAACTGTTTCGATGTTTTCTTTGCTTGTTGGCGTGTCGCACCTCCAGGATGCTCATCATCATCATCTTCTCGGCCTTTTGTAAAGCGCTTGTACCACTTATAAACACTTTTTTGAGACAAAGTGGACTCACCGAATGCCACAGTCAACATTTCAATTGGCTTTGCCTTCCATTTTGCCTTTTAAAACACCTCGTATTTTCTTACTTGAAGAGAGGAAGGAAATATCTTACTTTATCTCTACGGGCATTTAGAGGGACCAAATACTACACAAGCTTGATTTCCTGGGCTTTGTAACAACTTTTTCTCTAATATTTGATTCTAATTTTTGCGTTTATTTTGAATTTTAATATTTTTTACATGTCAAAGTGACGGAAAATTTATGATTTTAGCAGAAGAGCTAAGGCGCTGGGTGTGTTCAATGTAATCTATCGTAGACCATTACACAACAACAAATAATATCAATGGTTTCTTGAACCATTGCATAAATCTATAAGCTTATACAATGTCTTGAACGCTATTGTGGTATAGAAATCCATTTGCTTTAGAACAAAAATTGAAAATTCGGTTGTAACACACTACAATAAATACTATATATCTATCTTTGACATTGGGCAACTCTTTGTTTGGAGACTTCTACACAGCAATAAAAGTATCATGATAAAAGCCATTGCCAGTCGATGGCCTAAACTTAGTCGAGTATAGTTCATGCAAAAAATATCCTAAAAATATACTGTAGACATTTTTGTAAAAATCTACAACTACAGAATCAGCTGTTTTCCTATCTATGTGAAACAGTTGAGATTACCTGATGGAATCTGCCTTTTTTTACACAGAGATTTAAATAAAAGGAATGTACTTTAACAACTTGTTTGTGAACATATATATGTAATGGAGCATATTAATGAAAGCTTTCACGAATATTTTCGAAGGTTATCATATATTTATTGCTTTTCTTCACTACTCAAATATGGGAAAATTTTAGTTGAGCATCCCACGATTTCAGGGTTAAGGGGGGTATGGGTGGATAGAGGAGATTCTCCAGATCACGAATATATACAATTATTGCCACTGGAAACTTACAGTTTTCAAAATATTTGTATTTTAAGTTGAAAATTTCAAAAATTTTATTTTACAATTTCTCGATTTATGGTTATCTTTTCTTCTATATTATGCACTTAAGATACACAAACTTTTCACTACAATGTTTTTACATATTTATTTTATATTAAATATTTAAATGTTTGCTTTAAATAAGAATTTTATTTTTACACAATTTTCGTAATATGAACAATAGCAAATGGGTTCCATGTTGTCAGATAATAAGTGTTGTTATATCCAAACGGATGAAAGAAATCAAAAAAAATAAGAAACCCAATCACCCTCTACAAAATATTATGAACTTAATTTTTCATTTTAATAAAAGAAAAAGGTTTTATGGCTTAAACGTATGTTTTTTTGCATCTGATAATTTCACAAATGGATCATAATTCTGATTTACTATATTTTTACGCCATATGTATTCATAATTCAAATTTTCAAAATCTTCACTGTTATTATTATAATCCTTAATAAAAATTGAAGTTTATAGAGAGTGATATACCCTCGTTACCATTACTTTTTTTTGGTTGAGATTTCTTATTTGCACTGGCGGCCTTCGGCCGCCCTTTAAAAAAATAGCCCTGGTCGGTCCAACACCGGGGTGTTCATAATTTAATCGCATCAAACTTCTTTCCGCACTGGAGGCCTTCGGCCGCGCTTCAAAAAATTAACCCTGGTCGGTCCTACACCGGGGTGGTCATAATTCAATCGCGTAATACTTCTTTCTGCACCGGCGGCCTTTGGCCACTCTTCAAATAAATAACCCTCGTCAGTTCAACACCGGGGTGTTCATAATTTAATCGCGTCAAACTTCTTGCCGCACTGGCGGCCTTCGGCCGCGCTTCAAAAAAATAACCCTGGCCAATCCAATACCATAATTCATCAAAAGAAGGGAATGAACAAAATTATAGTTCATGTATTTGGGGTATAATCCTCTTTTATTGTTTATGTTAGTTCGCTTGGAAAATATAAATATATATATATATAATAGATATGGCTACACTTGTTAGCTGTCAGCATGGAACCCATTTGTTATTGTTCATATAACGAAAATTGTGTAAAACTTAAATGCTTGTTTAAAGCAAATACTTAAATATTTAATATAAAATAAATATATAGAAACATTGAAGTGAAAAGTTAGTGTATAATAAGTGCATAATATAAAAGAAAAGATAACCATAAATCGAGAAATTGTAAAATAAAATTTTTGAAAGTTTCAATTTAAAATGCATACCCAACCTTACCCCTCCTAACCCTGAAATCGTGGAATGCTAAACTAAAGCCCACCCCAAAATATTCTAAACCACCCACAGCGATATACTTATTAAATGTAAATTTAATCTTTAAGAATCGAAAACTATTTGAATATGTAATAAAAACATTATTAAATTTATAAATTTTAAAGCAGAACACGGCAACACACCGTAGCAGATTTGAGTCAATTGGACGTTTTAGTAGTATAATATTAGTTAGCAACCCGTTCCAAGTGTGAATTTAGTGCGTGTGGATTAGTCAAAATCTTGGGATAGGTCACTTGCGAATTTATTAACAATGGTAAAAATGGCGACAACAAACAAAAAAGGTGTCGATTTTATTAAAGCTATAACAAGCATAATATCTAAATCAACTGGGTTCGAGAGCACTTTGAAAAAGGTGAAAAAAGTTTTCTACCAAAATATGAAAATAGCTTCGTAGCCTAATGGTTTAACTCTGTAGTGTATGAAGGCAATTTGGGTAGCTGATTCTTATTATCAACTACCTCTTCCTAAACTTATTGAGTGCTATTTATTGATCGGCGAAACTGTGAATCTGGATAAAGAATAAAATAAAGGTTTATGGGTTAATGGTAAATGTATAGTTTAGGTCCCAAAACGCAGGAGGCCTCAAAAATGAAGTCGGCTTTAGTATACTGTTCTACGAGTTCAGGGTTAAAAGGGATATGGTTGGATAGAGGAGATTCTCCATATCAGAAATATATGTAATTATAGCCGCCGGAAATCGAAATATTGGCATTTAAGGTTGAAATTTTGACAAATTTTATCTTGCAATATAGGTAAGTTTTCTTTTATATTATGCACTTATTATACACTAACACTACACTACATTGTTTCTACATTTTATTTTATATCAATTATTTTCATATTTGCTTGGAATAAGCATTTTATTTTGAACACAATTTTCGTTGTATCCACAATAACAAATGGGTTCCATGTTGACAAATAAGGGAAAACTTTAGTATAACGTCCCACGCTTTCGGGGATAAAATGGGTATGGGCGGATAGAGGAGATCCTCCAGATCAAGAACATATATAGATATAGCCGCGGGAAACTTATAGTTTTCGAGATATTTGGGTTTAAAGTTCAAAATTTCGACTATTTAAAGTACGCATTTTTCCCATTTCGAAGAAGGTATACACTTATATTTTCCACTTTTATATCCACTAACACTTCACTAATTTGATTGTACACATTTATTTTACATTATATAGTGCAAAAATAGTTTAATTCAATAAGTAAATTATTGTTAAATTCTATTAATTCTGATAATAACAAAAGGGTTGCAAAATTTCAAATAACCAGTGTTACCTTATCGACATCTTTTGTAATTGAACTGAAAGAAATTAAAACAGATAATACCCCAAATCCAGGAATCCAAAACCTAGAGAAATAAACTATTACAAAGCATTGATGTTAAGTATTATGTTATACCCTCTATGACAATATTACTTTTTTCTTGTAGAACTTCTTTTTGCGTTGGCGGCCTTCGGCCGCGCTTCAAAAAAATAACCCTGGCCGGTCCAATACCGGAATGTATCAAAATATTTTTCGCGCAGAATTTCTTTTTGCGTTGGGGGCCTTCGGCCGCACTTTAAAAAAATAACCCTGGTCGGTCCAACACCGAGGTGTATCAAGGTTTTTTTGCGCAGAACTCGTTTTTGGGTTGGCGGCCTTCGGCCGCGCTTCAAAAAAATAACCCTGGTCGGTCCAACACCGGGGTGTATCAAGGTTTTTTTGCGCAGAACTCCTTTTTGCGTTGGCGGCCTTCGGCCGCGCTTCAAAAAAAATAACCCTGGTCGATCCAACACCGGGGTGTTCCAAAGTTTTAACGCGCAGAAATTCTTTTTGCGTTGTTTCCTGTATCTAGGGTACAATCTCTGTTTATTTTATTTTTCTTTGGTTACAAAATATATTAGTATGGCAACACTGATGTTTTGACATTCACAACCATTTTGTTATTGTCAAAATTAATAAAATTGAAGAATGATTTAAATATTGAAATATAGCTATTTTTGCAGCATCTAATATAAAAAAAATTTCTAAAAACGAATTAGTCAAGTGTTAGTGGATATAAAAGTGAAAAATATAAGTGTATAATTCATTTTAAATCGCAAAAATACGTACTTTAAATAGTTGAAATTTTCAACTTTAAACGTAAATATCTCGAAAACTATAAGTTTCCCGCAACTATATCTATATATATTCTTGATGTGGAGGATCTCCTCTATCCGCCGATACCCATTTTATCCACGAAAGCGTGGGACGTTATTCTAAAGCCGACCCACAAATAATAAGTTGCCATATCTATTATATGTATATATATATATAAATATATATGTTTATATTTTGCAAACGAATTAAAATAAATAATAAAAGAGGGGTGGGCTTTAGTTTAGCATCTCACGATCAGGGTTAAGAGGGGTATGGTTGGATAGAAGAGATTCTGCAGATCACGAATATATATAATTATTACCACCGGAAATTTATAGTTTTCGAGATATTTGCATTTTAAATTGAAAATTTCAC